TTAAGCCGAAACCGTCAGATGTGCAGCAGACAGAAAAGAGCCAAAGAACCTAAAGGAACCTATCGCTAAAGCCTATTGCTGTGTCATGCTTTTGGATGGCGGTCTGCGTTGGGGGCGTGGCAGGAAAACACACACACACACAGTTAGACGCACATACATAATTAGCATGAGCCCGAGCAGGCGAGCCGGGTCGACGTCGGTGATATCCGAGTGCTTAACTTGTCATAACTGAAAGTCCGAGTGCAAACACACCCACACACACAACACACATTTACATCCAAACAACACAGCACAACACACAAAACATAGTGGGTAAGTTAGACAGGCCAGGCAAGCCGAGAGGCGACCCTTAGCCAGTTACTAGCATCCCCGCTGCAGCCACACCCCTTTTGCATGTTGTCCTACTCCAACTTTTAAGTTTGGAACTTTGGAAAGCAGTTGGTAGATAGCTCGACCCCTGTGCTTAATGTGTCATAAGTAGAACTGGGAGCGATGAAAGTTGTCAGATTTGTTTGCTCCTCTCCTTTTTTTCTTTCCTGGTTGAGCTTACCTCGTCAGACAGCTTGTGCATATTATAGGGAGTCTTTGCAGTTTACTTGGCAGATCTTTCTTTTCTAACAATACATATTCGGTATCCTCTACTCTATTTCTTGACTAATATAGAATATGAGTTATAATAAAGGAATCTGCAACGCAATGGTTATTCGGGAATAATACTGGTTAAACTTTAGGTTTCATTTAATTTTGTTCTCTCTGTGCAACTATATTTTATTCACATTGTAAAGCACTTTTTCAATGGATTTATTTTTCTATATTTATATCTATTTCTTTATATATATAACTTTCTCCCTGTGAATCCTTCTTTGAATTCTTCGCTCTCTCATTAGTGATCTATTTTGATATATGCCTCTCTATCTCTCTCTCTCGATCTATATCCATTGATCACTATATATACTCTCATTATCTTTCTCTCTCTATCATTCTATTTATTGTTTCCATTATTTTCATCCTCAGATCTATCAGACTATCAATCAGTTTTTTTAATATTTTTTCTGTTCTATATATTAATTCAACCTAAACTTACTTTAAAGATCAAGCGCTATTGAAATTCAAATTAACTCAAGTTTCCATCAATTTCACAACTCATCAAATTCTTTCCAACCTCACTTATCGCGCTTTCCACGCAATTTCTTTGTATCGATAACAATATGATACTTAAAAACGATAGATGCTTTTATCGATCACTTACCTAAATGTTGATCGACACGTTTCTTGGGCTTCTGTACCGATGCATAGGGATCACTGCAGTAGTCCTGCCGGGACGGATTTTGACTGTTGCGCAAATTATGATATTCGTCGCCCACCTGGCTGGGCGTGGCCGTCAAATGTGGATATGGTGCATAATCATCGACAGCCCCATAGCCGCCATGCGTGAGCGGATCGTAGCCATAGGTGGGCTGCTGCTCTACATACTGATTGTGTGGCGCCTGGACGAGTGTCTGTTGATTTCCAACCGCAGCCGCGGACATTTTTACCTGCCAGAGCGAGTCCTGTGAGTTGACGCTGCCGCCATTATTCGAATTGGAATAATTGTTCTCCATGTAGCCCATGTTGACCCCTGTAAAAATGAATGAAGAAAAAACGAAAAATTCAATTGGGGTAAAATGCTGTAAAAACTGAACTCGAACAAGTGTCGCATAAATCTGCCACAGCATCGCTTGGCTGACAGATAGATTTCTGGCGCCAGGCCAAATAAAATGCTTAATAAATAAAATTCACAGTTCAATGCAATCAGCGCGATAAAAAAGAGAAAGTTTCTTTTACAGCTTTATATTGATTAGCACACAAAAATGATAGCCGAGTAAAAATAAAATAAATAAAATGAATTTATTAGCTGGGCGAATCAACAAGGCGTTATTAATTGTTCAAAAACATATTGCGCATACGCCACTTAAGACTCACAAACCTATGCGGAGCACTGTCACGACTCGCCCCACCCCTTCGCAGTCATCACTCCCCTTTCAGCTGCCTCTCCAGTGGAGCTGCCTTTTGTAGTTCTGAGAAAGTTTGTTGACAAATTTTTTACGAGCTACGCGAAACAGTATCAAAGCAGGAGCCGCTCTCAATGGGCGAAGGTCCTTGTGTCCTTCTGGTGCTTGTTACGCGCCAGAACAAAGGCGTTGACAAGCAGCAATGCGCCTTGTTACAGGACCTGCCCGCACGCCTGTCTTTCGCTGCTTTCATCCCATGCAGCAGCTCGTTACTTTGCCGGGCTGCCTGCCTGTGCGTGCGCCTTTGTTGCTCGCATTTATTATTATTTTTATATCGTGATAAATCACTCATAAATATTAAACGCACGCTTGCCAAGGAGTACAAAAAAGAAAAAAAAATACAAGGAAAACTTTTTGAATTTTGAGTCGAAAACCGAATAATTGGCCATTGTTCTGAATAACGTTATCACCAGCATTTCGCCTAGTATAGTTAAAATTTAAACCTTAAAAAACGTAGCTCAGTTTTCTCTGTTTTAATGGGCGACGTTTTAAGAGCACAAATTTCAAAAGCATAAAGTTGGGTTATCATTTTGATAACTTTTCAAAGGTTAAGCATGACCACAAATTGGCGAATTGCAGGCGAAATCGTTTTATGAGCTCATGTTTGTTGACGTGCGCCACAATTTAACGACAATTTGTGTGTTTTGTTAGCCAAAAACCAAAAGACATGCAAATATACCATATATACATATATACGGAGTGTTCAAGTGTTGGACTGTTCCATTGCCAGCTGTTTCACGTTTCGTGTGCCATTTCCAGATTGCGTGTCGTTTTGCCGCTTTTTATGCGACATGGTGGGCGTGATAATTTTTATGATTAGCCATAAAACTAAAAACAGTAATAATATTAACTTCATTTTCATTTTCCATTCCCGAGAGCTCTCCGCTTCTTCTACTTTAACGTTCTTTGCATACATTTCCAGTTGTAATTTTATGCGATATTTCGCTGCTTGTGTTCTATAAGGCATAAAGCCCACAGAGCAGGCAACCAAAAAAAAAAAAAAATAAATAAATAATAAACTTTTCAATTTGATAAGCATCAAATCTGTTTGGCACAACTTTTGATTGCGCAAGTTTTCGGTTTGAATGGGCCCCAAAAATATTTGTGGACAACAAATTACAAATACAAAATAACAAATTCTGCCCAAAAATCTACTGTATACAGGAATTTTAATGCATTTCCATTGTTATGCGGCAAAGTGGTTGTAGGCGCGAGCGGTGGGGTGTGTCGGGCAACGAGATGGGGAGAAATTTGTGTTGCCTACTTTTGCCGCGACGCGCAATTAAGGTTTAGTCGAAAAGTTTGCACATTGATTTGTGCAAATAACTGTTTTTTGGTGGCATAGTTTACAAAACACAGCCACGGCCACGCCCACAAGCAGTGGGTCAGTGGGCGGCTGGGCTTATTAATCTCGCCACAAGCTGCTCAAGTGTCTCTCGCTGGCAGTTCGGCTGCCTGAAATTCTTTTCACGTTAACGACTCTCGGCCAAGTGGCAAAGTTGCAATTGCCCCACGCCGCAGCCCGTGCCGCTAATTCACTCTCTAGACAAAGTTTTCAACCGGAAGCGCTTATAATTATGCAACATTTTTGTGCAGCAGAAGCAACGAGAGGCTGAGGCAGCCGCACAATAAAAACAGTTTCAAATGCCATTAACGGTTAACTAAACGGCAACGGGCTGAGGGCAGAGGGTAGAGGCTAGAGGACAGGGTGCCAGTTCTTAGCCAAAGAGCGAGTTAAGCTGCCCAAAGTTGCCCCCTTTCCCCTTTTGAGCACCTCAAGCGCACAGGCGGCGTTAATGGCGCCACACTCCACAACTTGCGGTGCCCCCCACGTGAACTCAACTCTGGGAGTCGACCTTTGCCTGCCCCTTGTTGCACTTTTAATTAGCGTCGCGACGCAGGCTGCTCGGCATTTGGCCCCAAATGCGCTTAAATGCCAAAAGTAGTGGAGCGGGAAAAGCGGGCGAGTGGCAGCAGCAGTCAGCAGTGGAGTTTAGAGCACTTGCCGTAAGGCTGACTTGCCACCTGCGCGCCCTTCTCTGCAGCTCTGCCACTGGTTTCCTGCCTGACTGAGTTCCTGTGCTTGCACCATGTTGCAATTTCTGCTGCTGGCGGCCTTTTTGCTGTTGTAGCCAGCCTCAAGTTGGCAGAAAAGGAAAGTTTTCAGGCAAGCTGCATTTTTGTGTGTGTTGCTCGGCTGCCGCTTTGCTGCGAGTTTGATAACTTTCCTGCTCCCAAGTCCTGCAGCTCGAAGCAGTGCACACATCAAAAATAATTATTATTATTATAATAATAATATGCTCTGCTTGGCGCTTCTCGTTCACGCAAGCAGGTCAAGTTGAGCCGAAACTTTTCATAGAATCGCCAACTTTACGGGATATTCATAATAAAAGATTATCAAATTCACTTGTAATCAACTTGGCTAAAAATAAGACGCTTGGGGGGCAACAGCTAAACAGGCATACAACTTTTTTACAAATTTCTATTCTTTGAGAAAAGTATTGGGAACACCAATTCAAAGAAATCTAGTTTGAGCTCAATTTGAAAAATTCATTTTCATTGAAAAGAAATGACAAAAAAAAAATTAAGAAAAATACCATAACTTGGTCAAATCTCATCCGATTTGCTCTTTTTTCATGGTTCGGCCTCTTGAGCAATTTGACATCTAAAGCTGGCAATACATTCTTGTATTTTACAGTCTCGAACGTACTATGTACATTTAATTCTGTGTACTATGAACAATATAGCGTATTCACATATTTGTACGCAAGATAACAGATAACGGTCGGCACAATCAACCGAATATAAATACATACATATGTATGTCTGTATATATTATATATACTTTTTAGATTGTTTTACTTTTTTGACCCACGAGATATTTGCTGTCAAATCCACAAAAGAGTATATTTAGAAATGATATTTTTGTTATTTATTGCATTTCACAATTTAAATTCGATTATTTTCGACATTTTTGCTAAAATCCTCCTGATATTCTTTGTTAACTTTGAGCGAATGGTTGATAACACTAGAAGCTGGCGGTGGCTGCTGCGGTGCAGGCGGATAGGCAGCTGGTGGTGCGGGGGGATAGACAGCTTGTGGTGCGGGAGGATATGCCGATTGTGGTGCCGGGGGATAGGCAGGTGGTCCATATTGAGGTACTGGTGGTGCATACTGGTTATAGGGCTGCTGATTGCCTGGATATGGACTCTGGTACTGGGGATTCATGGGCGGCGGCGGCGGCTGCGCATACGGATTATATGGCGGCTGCTGCTGATTGTATGTATAGGGAGTGTAGGGATATGGTGGATAGGCGTAGGGCGGATAGCTCGGATACGCTGGATTATTGTATTTATGTTTATGCTTTCGGCCGTGACTGTGGCCACTGTTATCACTGCTATCACTGTCACTGCTGCTGTCGCTATCCGCTAGGACACTTCCGGCATGCCAGCAAGCCAGCAGCAGGATGCCAACCAGCGTCAAGTATTTATTCATTATTTGGCAAGCAGATTCAAATTACGATGCCGAGCAACCGAACAAGACTAAGTGTTTAAATTGAGATTAAGTTAAGCGAATGTCTGACACAGAAGACGCATAATGCTATAAATTGATAAGCAGCACACGAGCATCTGAATATGCTTGTGCTGCTTATCAATGAAAACGTTTCAAATACTGTCAACCAAATGTGACAGATTGTTGACAAATGTTCATTCATAATCTAATGCGTACTTGCAGCATCTTCTGAATAGCGTCTGTTCTAATGTGGCGCTTAAAATAAATTTTAGCGGGTATTTCCCGTGCTTGTAGAGTTCAAGTGGATTATCATTATCAATTAAAGGGCTCTGACTAGTTTTAGTTTTTTTTTTAATTGTTGGGCGTTAAACTGTGAAAAATACAGCACAAAAATTATCAATATTTTGTTTAGGTTACAATTCACGCGACCTTGTATATTATACAACATTTATCTTCTAATCAATTTTGCTGCCATTCGCAAACCTATAAACATTATTATTACATTAATGAAATTTTCAGAGTATGCCCATTAAATATTCTTGAGCTATGAATGCGAGAGTCTATATACCAAAATAGGTGTACCCAGCATTTACATATTGATATTTATCGATAACATGGAAACGGGCAATTTTATCGATGATTTGAAACAACAAACCTGAACTGATCAACTCTGCAGTTCATGCAGGGTATACATATTTTATGGGGTCGTAGATGCTTCTGCCTGTTACACACATGTGTACAAAACCTTTTTCAACGATTTTGAATAAGTGCAAATAAGGAAACCAAACCTAACCAAATCTGCTCATAAATAGATTCTTTTCTGACTTTGCCAGATTTGTTGAGGGAAACAGTCCAAAAATGTGGTATAAGAAATTAAAATTTTAAATGAGAAATAAATACATCTTAATAGGCAAATCAATGCTATCGTAAACAACAAATCCCTGTCCAGTTGCCTCTATTCTGAACATGGGCATAAATAAGTGAGACCGAGAGGGTGAACACAGTGTTGCCAGACTAAAGACTGTGTATGTCAGCTGAGAAGCCCTTACAATTTATCGCTTTAAGCCAATTGTAAAGCAGCCAAGTGAAAGTTTGTTTTTCATATTTGTTTGTACCCAGAGTTAAACTCAAAATTTGCTGACTCTGTTGGTCTCTGCTGGTCAGCTGCGGACTGGTAAGGGGGCCAGGAGTATTGGACTGAGCAACGCCTACGGCTAGACAAGCGCAGGATAACGACGACGACAACAACGAGTATGTCTAGAGGACATGTACTCCAAAAGCCAAATAAATGCAAACAAATGTCGTTGTCGTCCGGCTGCTGCTGCCGCCGGCCCCCAGCCCCAAATAAAAGGCAGCCAAACAAACAACACGCAAACCAAAAATAAAAAAATCTAAAAGCTAAAAAGCCAAAAAAGGACAACAAAAAAAGATGGCAAGAGCAAAAAATCTTTTGCGCGCTGAAATTTATGCGCTAAATAAATAAAGCCATGAACTCGATGCTACAAATGTTGTCTGGCTTTCCCAGGCGTGTGTTTTTGTGTGTGTGTATTTGTGTGTTCTGGTCTGGTTTAGAATGCAGCTAGGGCCCGCAAAGCAAACGGCCGCAAAATAGTTTTGCAGACGCCACCACGAACACTACCATCGCCGCCACGCCCCCGAAATGCAACCACAGCCCCCGATTTGAACAACATTTTGCGCGGCAGCGTTTTAGGCGCGTGTCCAACATGTTTGTCTTGTAATTGTTGTTGTTGTTGCAATTTTTACTGTTGTTTTTATTGTTTGAGGCAGCCTTGGCCAGCTGACCGCACAATTCAATGACAAAATCTATGAGTTGCATTTGCCGGCTTTGGTTGTGCTTCTGCTTCTGCCTCTGTTTTTGTTGTTTTGTATGCTTTGTATGCAGCGCTGTAAAACTAATTGGCTTTAAAATCTAAACACAGCTGCTGACATGGCACAGATTGCAGTTCATCGAAAGACCTGACAATATATGCTGAACAATATGAAAGCCTTAACCCACATTAATAAACTAAAAGGCGCTTAGGGTAAAACAAAACAAGGCAGGAAAGTTGCCCAAAGAATGAACAAAAGCAGAATGTCTAATATATTAAATATTTAGTATAAATTTGCATCAGAAGCTAAACAGAAACCAAAAGAAAAAATTCGAATTCGGCCTTTTAGTAATTATATTAGAGACGTAGTTGAGTAGTGAACTTTTGTTTAAGCAGTGTTGCAAAATACAGCACACAAATTTGTACACTGAATATATGTGCGCTATTCTAGTAGTTTATACAGAATGTGGAAAGCAGAAAATAAAAATATATAAATACTGCTAAATTTGCATAATGCTTATGCAACATTTACATTTTACAACACTAGCTGCTAACATTAGGCAAAACTGATATAACTCACATAAAAACAGGCTATAATTATTATTTTAAATATTTTTCTGCTATTATTATTGCCTCGCCCTAAGCAGTAGGTATACTCGCCAGTTATTCGAGTACAAGTTCTCGTTCTTCAGTTGCCTAATATAATATTTTAATATTATCAAAAGCACCCCGGCACCATATATCTTTATTTTAAGATATTCATAAACGTATTAAGTACAAGTACGATGCTATCAGGCGAACAATTTGCCATTAGCCTAGTGCAATTTTCAATTGGAAACGGCCCCAGATGGCAACGCCATTGTTTTTATTGTCCTCTTCGTCGCTGCCGTTTAACATGCAAAGTTCATTAGGTTTTTGGCCTATGCAACGATTGCGGCAATTTTGGTTGAGCTCTTAACGAGTCCAAAGTGCACAAGCGACAGCAGCAAGAACAACAACAGGAACACGCAACAACAACAACCACAACAAAGCACATTCAAATGGCATTTGCCAGGGGGCGGCAGGGCAGGGGCTTGTGGAAAATGAGAGCGCCCAAGGCACCTTCTTATGCAGCAATTAGCGCTTACAATGAACTGCAAGCTGCAGCACCTGGAAATCTGATTGTGTGTGTATGTGTGTGTGTGTGTGTGTGTGGCACAGCTGTTGCCTGTCTGCGCTTTTTATTATTCATGCCACTTTTGCTGGCTGCCACTTTCACTAGCCAAATTAGCCGCTCGCGCATTTCTTTTTAAATGCAATTAAGTGCAAATGTTCGCCGGCAGGCAAACAAAAAAAAAACATACCTAGTTTTGGGGAGGGGGACACTTGAAAATTTTAATTGGCATTCGGCGAACACTTGAAACTCGGAAACTTTTGAATGAGCCCACACAATGGCTGCCATTTGCAGCCCCTCCCCCTCCGACGAGCTGTTTACCAATTGCCAACTATCAGTTGCTGCGCGAACTTGGACGTCCTTCGGCAAACAGGAAAATATTGCAATTAAATTTTTGTCCAGCAGCTTCAAATTCTATTGCCATTTAGCAAAGCACACAACAACAACAAAAGCATGCACCCAGCGAGCACACAACACAAAAAGGAATTTTAATTTGCACGTCATTACCAAATACACTCGGAAAAAAAATGGTACAAGAAAGAATTGGAAAGTTGAACTTAGACGAAGAGCGAATATCCTGCTAGCGAGTGTCTGTCTCAAGCAGAGAAAGCGAGACAGAGACGTCGAGGTACTACAACTACGTAAAGAAGTCCAACTTCTTTTTTATTATATATACATTTTGCATCACATACTCCCAAAAAACTGTTACGAAGCAGTTCAACTTTAATGACATATTATTACGTTTTAAAAAAAAATTGGAAATACTATTATTACTATTACTATTAATTAAATAGAATTCTTTTCCAGTAACTATAACAACGATCTCAAATGGTTATAATAGATCGATTCTAAAATAGATCTTAATATTTTACAGATCAATACTTAATATTTTCAAATCAACAATGGCGAATACAAATGTTTCCTTTATAAGTGATTCTTTTCCAGAACAATATAAAATCAGTTTCAGATTTCAATAGGGAGAGCTAAAGCATTGCTTATGTCTGGGTCTGATCTTAGTTTGATATTCATGATCGTAGTGGCCAAATCTTAAAAGCCTTCTTTAGTGCGTTACACACCTTTCAGCTTAATTAGAATACCCCGCATGCAGGTCTATAAAAAGCAGGGAACCTGTCCAATTTGTACGCTCACCATGTTAAAGGTTAATACCTCTTATGGGGACCCGCCTTCCCAAAAAAAACAGAAACACACACACAAGGGATACATGGGATTGGGTAAGTAAAAAATAAAAGTAAACCAGAACAACAATTAATAATGAATTGTGTATTGCGTATTGCGGGCAACCGCAGAGGGACGGACCGGACAGAGCGGTGTTGGGGAGAGGGCAGCAGGACCAGGGACAGGGGCAGGGACAACGAAGGCGGGTCCAGTTTACGCATTCATTTTGTGCGCAATTTTCATTTGTTGTGGTGAGGGCGGATGGCGGTTGGAGGAGGCAGAGGCGACACTTGAAAGGACGACAAGGACGCGCAGCCAGGATGAATGGACGTGAGCGTCAAGCAGCAACAACAACAATAAAACAACAACAACAGCAACAACAAATGGCAAGTATATTACAAAATGTTTCGGCGAGGACGTAAAACGTTTAGGGAAAAAATTGCTGTTTCAACAAATTTACAACGGAAGTTGAAGTGTTTTGTCGTTGTGTGTGTGGGAATGTGTGTGTGCCGCAGGTGTGTGTGTGTTTGCGGCTTGCACACCTCCCTAGCCTTGGTGTGTGTGTGTGTGTGCCCGCAGAGGCGCGTGATGAATGCGCATGGCCATCGATTTGCACTCAACTCCATTTTGCACTTTCACATTTCATGGGCTACATAATTTGTGTGCACCACCCAACCCGCACCAACCACCTGCGCACCGCTCCCCGCACCGCTACTTGCCCCACGCCCGTGGCGCGTCAGCACGGATTTCATTTTGTTTTGTGATGTGTTTTGCGGTGGACAATGAAAAATCACCCAAAACATTTTGCCCCCAACATTCAGGGAATGAGAGAGAAAGGGAGAGCAGG